AAGTCAGGTGGGGAACGTTGGAGTCTGCAGTCACTGGAGCAAGCAAGCCTCCCTGCTCGCTTCAGTGCATGGCTGCCGGCCGCCATCTTGGCTGACAGTTAATTTGCATAAGGATATGCTGATTAGCCAATGGGAAGGGTAGCGGTCGTACGCTAATTACCATGTTTCTCTTTTATTAGTGTAGATTATTAATTAAACTATCCGTTCTCGTGGAAGCTCTCATGAAGTGGCCACCAGGGAAGCTTGCTGACTGTATGAAGTTGGTTTTATTAAACTTGCTAATAAGCAAGGGGTCCCTGTAGTGTCTCAGATGAAAATTTGGAGACAAGGATGGTAGTTTGGGGGCTATGATTAGTCACAGGGTTCCTTTAGGACAGAAGCTAGTAAGTGAGGTTTAGGCAGAGACTGGTAGGATTTGTCATCTAGGAAAGTTGCATTCTTGTTGTTGGAAAATAAATCCAAAGAGTTCATGTTAAATTCATTTGTTTGTACTTTTATCTTGGAACACATGGTCTGAAAGGAGCTGGTATTGAAACACTGAAGTTCAGCTAGTTGTGTTACCTGTCGTACAAATTACCTGTGTTGTGATTCAGAGCATAGTTTTGCAGGTTGTGGTTTTCATTTTATTTCTCACAACAAACAAGTAAATATCACAACAACGTATAACACTCATTTATCTTTTTAAAGCTTTTAATATGTAGCTCATCCTTAAGAAATTAATAAGTAATGAATTTTAATTTTACTTTTTCAGGCAATATTCAAAATCACATATGCCTTGTGGGGTACCTATATCTATATATATCTATGTCTGTTTCTATATCTAGGTTTTAGAAATTATTCTTCCTTAGTACTATGTATTAACTCTGAGAACATATGTAATGCTAGCAATAATATGCCTTTGAGAGTTTATATTATATTTTGATCTATTTTCGTTATGCCCCATCTTGTCAAAAAAAATTTATGCTTCCCCAAATATTACAGCCTTATATGCTATTTAAATACCACTAAAATGTGTTAAAGTGTCAAAAATTCCATTTTATAAAGTAGATTAATGCTAATCTCAGAATGCTTATTTAAATGTAAGGAGTTTTTCAGAGAAAGAAAACTTGTATAAGAGAACTCTCAAAAATGATAAAGAGCACATGCTCATTCTGTATTTCAGATACAAACTCGGACAAAAGCCTTTCCACAGATGGATATTCTGTGTAGTTCATTCTAATCGGAACACATGGCGAAAAAAATGGAGCTATCAAAACTGGTACAAGGGATAGCCAACATTTGCCTTAAAGTTAAATCATATTTGCTTTCAAGTTTACTAGATAATAGTGATTGCTATAGTTTTACATTTTAAAATGCCCTTTATAAAATGTACATTAAAACATTCTTGTTCTCCTCTGGTCTTTGCCAACATTATTTAATATTCAAATTCAGAAAATCTCATTCTCCAACTCTCTCTCTTCAGTGGCTTCATTAAATAGTATTAGCTACCATGTACTATCTTCCTTGTGCCAGTATTTGGCCAACATGAGCTCATGAAATGCTCACAGTGAATGACCTTGAGAACTGAGTGCTATTGTTGCCTCTGCTCTGAACATAAGGAAACCTAGGATCAGTGAGACCCACGCTGTGCAGCCACACTCCCATCTGAAGAGGATATCTGTACCTTTCCACTCTGCCATGCTGCCTTAAGCTAAAGAAATCCATGTGTACATACTATTTTCACTTTTTTTGTCCACCATGTTTAACTCTAGATACTGTGCACCCTACGTTTTAGAGAAAAAAAAACCTCATGAACAACCCCACAAAAATTTTTGAGTGAAATTACCATAACTTTTTGCTGTTTGGGGGCTAAAATCTTGTCATAGCTCTTGATATCAAGAGATGCTTTCAGCTAATTCTCTGATGTTACTAAGTCCTACCTAAGTTATAAGGAAATAAAAATGGTATTGTAAGGTGGAGGAATCCAAGGGACCACTAAACATCTTTCTGAAAATATGTTTCAAGATGGTTACTTTCCCAACTAATATCAATCAGATCTATTTCAAGCTGGCTTCTTTGCCATTTAACTTCAGTCAGAAAATATACATCAAGCTGATTGCTTTCTCAAATCTACACATTCTTAGGGCCAAATAATCATAGGACCTCTTGGATGATATGACCAGAATATTTGCTTTGTTTTCTAAGACCTTGAAAGACCACATGTGTGCCCTTCTCAGCCTGTATTTGTCCCTTTCCACTTCCTTCTCCAGGACTGCCCACCAGAAGCAGGTGATTTCCGAGCTCAGCAATGCTCAGCTCATAATGATGTCAAGCACCATGGCGAGTTTTATGAGTGGCTTCCTGTGTCTAACGACCCTGACAACCCATGCGCACTCAAGTGCCAGGCCAAAGGCACAGACCTGGTTGTTGAACTCGCACCTAAGGTCTTAGATGGGACTCGCTGCTACACAGACACCCTGGATATGTGCATCAATGGCCTATGCCAAGTAAGTACTGGCTTCTTTTCATTCTGTTATTCCAGAGGGTTCGAGTGTCTTCGTGTAAATACCTTTCCCACCGCCCTGCTATCTGGATCACTCAGCGCTACTTTTTATTGCCTGTATAGAGAATGACAGATTTGAAAATTGAGGTTTAATTTCAGTTAAAACTACCAGTGTATTTCGTGTTCGGGAAACGTAGGCTAGAATTGTTTTTCTTTCCTTGAGTCTCACTTGAATATGGAAGAATAGAAATTCTTAAGTATTGTATATCATTTTTAGACTAGACTCTAAAATTGCCTCTACTTTGGTTGTCTCTAAAATATGTTTCATGTATGTGTATTTGGAGGCATCTATTTTCATTTACTTAGAGCTTCAGAATTACTCAGATGAAGTTGACTCTATAATCTCCAAAATGTAGAAAACCTTGTTCCTTTATTGTAACTGTAACTTTGTTGAAAATTCAGGCAAACTGTCCTGAAGAACTTGGCAGTGTCAGCTAGGTCAGATGTCAGCCACGTAAATCTTTACAACAGGATGGCAAAGAAGTTTGATTTCTGGTATCAATTTATCAATGTCTACTTTGGGAGGGGAGTTAGGCAGGTGAAGGAGAGTTAGTATGATTGCCATCTTGATTTTAAAGTCGACTCTTTGGATTAGGATGCCCAGCCTACTTTTTGGAAAAAGCAGTTGCTGTATTGTCCTGTGTGCTATATATACTTCGCTATACAGTTTCATATCTCACAACATAGGCATTTTGAGAACCTTTGTCTCTCCCTCCCAAGAAGACATTGGTGGGATTTTTCTCTCTTCAGAATCTCTCATGTCACAACTAGCAATACAAGAATTAACATAAAATATGTCTTAGTAATTTGTTGTTTTGAATCCACAGGTTTATTGAAAACTTAAATCTATATTCAGATATACAAGGAATAACTGTAGTGTGAATTACTACAAGAGATGTGGGGTGGCCTGCAAGGTATCATGTCCCTGAGAGGGAAACAGACATTCTAAACCTTCATGAGGTCTAGAATCCTGAGACAGGGAAATTTTGGCATGTCTAAACCTTCTCAGGAGATGGGGTGTTGTTTATATATCTGAAGTTTTCTTTATACACAAGAAATATTTAAATTTCAGATATAAATTTGAATATGGAATCTTACTATTTTAAAGCTAAGAAAGGCCTACAAGATTATCTAATCTATAAAGCAATATATTTGAACATCATTTCTTATATTTGGTGTTTGCTTCCTTCTCTAGAATTCTCGGTGTCATTGAAATGAAATTATGGGCTCCACAAAAGCTTTGGAAGTAATAGAGAATTGAAAAGCATATAGAAAAGGAGCTATGTTGTAGGGAATGGCAAATAAAATAGTAATAATTCCTTATGCATGTATAGTGTTTGAATAAAGCAAGACAGATTCCAATTTTGTAAATGAAAAAAATGAGAACCAGAGAAGTTGTATGATTTTCTGAAAGTTGCATAGTTGGGCATGGCAGAAATGGGACTAAACTCCAGGACTCCTGATATCTACTTTAAAGTTGTTTGTGGTATATTGTGCTGACGAATGAACCACAATAAACAAGACAGGTCAGTAAATTAGGTTTCATTTGTTTCTGTTTGCCTGGGAGTTCAAGGTTGTATGTCTTTCCCCTACTCTAATCCTGCCAGCTGGCCTAGTTTACCTTGGCAACTGAAAGGAAATCTTATATCAGCAGCAAAATAATAAATTTTATATATAGTAAATATGAAATGATAGTGCTGGACTTTTGGTTATAAATATAAGCATACCTCCTTAACTTAGATTCTTATGAGTGTGACTTGTTAGATTTAGAGGAGAATGTAAACTATACAATATCTGTAAAGAATTGTGACATCCATAGTAATCATGTTCAGTTCTTATTATTGTCTTCATTTATTTGTCTTATTAGAGGCAATGAACAGCGATGAAAAACACAGATTTCATTTAGTCACTAACAAGCCTCTTGGCTAGAGAGCAGGGTATCCCCAGGTACACCGTGAGTAGAGAGAGTTTGGGAGGAAATCGAGGATACACTCAGGACTATCATAAAGTGAGTGGGCAGGAAAGAATGCTAGTAGAGAAAAGACATAATCATAGCTCAGCTTTAGAAAAATTAATATAGCTGCATTTATGGGATGCTGGAAATGGAAGGCCCTGGAGGCAAAGCGAGCAGCTGAAAAGGATGCTCTGAGCAGCCAAGGTGAAGGCAAGCAGGAGCCTCAGCCAGGGCAGTGACAGCGGGAGCAGAGAGGAAGGCGTTTTCATTTTGATTATAACGAGGGTGGAGGGTACAAAGCAATAAATAAAATCAATCATGCTCAGGGGATCAAAAACTACAACTGATATGAATTGGTCATGGATACAATTTTTAATCCTTGCTTCCATCACCATAATAGTCTTGTGTTTTCATTATTAAAACTTACTTGCATTCTATAAAACTTCTTAAAGAAAGGAACAGAAAACAGCAAGATGACTGTGGAATAAAAGTAGAATTTTGAGGTAGAATACTGCTACCTCAAAAGAATTTAAAAACGTCCTTTATTTAAATGTTATCTGTTTATTGGTAATTAGTATGCTCAGCCTTTGGTAAGAATTACTAAGAAAAAGCCATGTTTTCACATTTTTTAAACAGTCAAAAATCTTAATGCTGACTTAAATATGCAGTTTTTATAAACAGCTCTTCCTAGTTCCCTGAAAAATTCATCCCCCCTCTCTATTTTTCCACCTCTTCTATTTCTACCCCATTTTTTGCTCTTTCTGGTTTTATTTTAGTCTTATTATAATTTTTTGTAAATTGCCTCAGACATTTTTTGAAGAAGTATATAACGCAGTTTTTCTTTTATAAACAGTAAGTGATGGAACACACTCAAAAATTAGCACAGATAAAGCTTATGGGAAAATTACACCAGGCTTTTTGTTTGTTTGTTTGCTTGGATTCTTTGTAAGAGTATAATAAATATGGAAGACAGTTGGTCTGTTGACATTTGATAGTAGTACTTGAAGAATACTATGGTAAAAGACATGTGTTAATTAATAAATAAACAAACAAATAAATACAATACATGTGTTTGTGTAACTACACATAGAACAAAATCTGGAAGCAGATATTCCTGAGTGTTAGTAATTACTTCAGGGACATTTGATATCTTACATTTATTCATTTGAATATTATTTCAAATTTTTTTGAGGCTAAGCAGATATAAATTATAAACTGTAAAGAAGCAAGCATAGTCTGACATTGATAGAAAATGACAGCATAATTGTAGATATTTGTCATTTATAAGCACCAATTATTTCAATTATACCTGTTTAATACTCAACTGAGAACCACTTTTTCAAAATTGGGCTTTTAACACAACCAAAACTATGGAATCCTAGCCTTTTTGACACTTTAGCAATGAACACATATAGCTATTTCACAGCAGAAGAAATTGAGGCCTAGAGATATCCAGTGTCATGAATGAGTGTATTACTTATATTTGTTGTGAATGTGTTTCAGGAACATTATAGAATCATTACTATTTATAATTTATACCTTATTCTTATTCAGAAAATCATACTAGACAGTAAAATACCTCCCATTTTGCTTTTATTGACATATCCTATATAATAAAAGCGTAATAGGCTAAGGATCGGACCTATCGGTTGACCGTTCGGTCGACTGCTCGACCAGTCACTATGATGCGCATTGACCACCAGGGGACAGACGCTATGACCAGTAGGTTAGCTTGCTGCTGGTGTCCAGCCGATCTGGACTGGGCAAGAGGGCCCGATTGTGGGCCAGGCTGAGGGACCCCACCCATGAGCAAATTGGTGCAGCTAGCCCCTAGTAACATTATATTAGTTTCAGGTGTACAACATAATGATTCAATAAATGTATATGTTGCAAAATGATCACCACAATAAATCTAGTTAATTCATCACCACACATAGTTACAACTTTGTTTTTCTTGTGATGAGAATTTTAAGATCTATTCTCTGAGCAACTTTTAAAATATGATAAAGTATTGTTAGCTATAATCAGCATGCTATACATTACATCCCCAGAATTTACTTAATTTGTAAGTAGAAGTTTGTACCTTTTGACCACCTTTACCCATCTTTGCCCCACCCCACCCACCTCTAGCAACCTCCATACTGTTTTCCATAGTTCTTGCATCAATTTACATCCCACAAATAGTGCACAAAGGTTCCCTTTGCTCCACATCTTCGCCAATACTTACTTCCTGTGTTGAGCACATTTTCATGTACATGTTTGCCATTTGCATGTTTTCTTTGGAAAAAATGTCTGTGCAGCTCCTCTGCCCATTTTTCAATCACATTGTTTGTTTTCTTTGCTATTGATTTGTATGAATTCTTGATATATTTTACCCTTATCAAATATATGATTTGCAAATACTATCTCCCATTCTGTAGGTTGCCTTTTCGTTTTGTTGATGGTTTCCTTTGCTGTGCAGAATCTTTTTAGTTTGATACAGCCCTGCTTGTTTATTTTTGCTTTCATTGCCTTTGCTTTTGGTGTCAAATCCAAAATATTGCCACCAAGACCAATGTCAATGAGCTTTTCCCCTATGTTTTCTTCTAGTTTTATGGTTTTAGGTCTTGCATTCAAGTCTTTCATCCATTTTGAGTTTATTTTCGTATATGGTGTAAGACACAGTCCAGTTTCATTCTTTTGCATGTGGCCATTCAGTTTTCCCAACCCCATTTATTGAAGAGATTGTCCTCTCCACATTATATATTCTTGGCTCTTCTGTTGTAAATTAGTTGATTGTATTTATGTGAGTTTATTTCTGGGCTCTCTATTCTGTTCCATTGATCTATGTGTCTGTTTTTATGCCAGTATCATACTTTATATTATCATTGCTTTGTAATATATTTTGAAATCAGGGAATATGCTGCCTTCAGGTTTGTTCTTCTTTCTCAAGATTGCTTTGGCTATTCAGGATCTTTTCTTCTTCCATACAAATTTTAGGATTGTTTGTT